CTCAGGACACAGATCTTCCCTTCCAATCACCAACCTAAAACTTGTGGAACCCCCCCTATAACCTACAAGCTCCCGCTGCCACATGTCCTGCCTTTTGGGGCCAAACCAATGGAAATCTCTTCACTAATTTTGTCTGTTACTCTCAAAATCAAATAAAAGGAACCCCTGTACAGGATCACCCTGAGAAAAGCATGTTTTTGCCTCCTCTCTGGGCCTAGGTCACTCATATTCGGCTTGGAAATAAACTGCATTAATTATTATTAATTTTTTAGAGTTGGTTATTTTCCGTCGACATTGCTAAGATGCGGTTGGTTCTTTGTGGCTGGGACCATGTGAGAGCCCTGGGTTTAGTTTCTGGTCCAGCCTAGCGACTGGCTGTGGTGTGTACTTGTAGGAACTAGAGGAGGCCGAGACTGCAGGAGCAAGAGATCAAAGCTGACGTGGGCCATGCAGTGGGACCTGCCCACAAACGAGCTAGGCGTGCCTGTAGCATGCCCTTCCAGTTGTAGCTGGAAAACTGAGGCAGGAAAATACGGGCACCAAAACCCTTTCTCATCAATTAAAAAAACAAAAGCAAAAACGAGTGTAATAAACCCTACAGCATGAGCTGGCCATCTACAGCCCATGAGCCAAATTTAGCCTGTCACCTGGTTTGTAAATAAAGTTTTATTGGAGCACAGTCAAGTCCATTTGTTTCATTATTTGAACATCCCACAAAGCTAATCCTGGACCTTTATAGAAGGATAAGGACATGGAAAAAAAAATGCTCAGCAGGTTCACTCCCTTTTCTATGCCATTCTTTCTGTTCTCAGCCAGCACTTACAGATAAGCGGTTCCTTTAGTTTCTGGTTTACACACACACAAAATTCACTTACAGTCTAGCAAAGTATTCAGGTGGATTTGTGTGCAGTTATCTTGGGTTTATAAGTATAAATTTATTTGCAGAAGAAAAGAAAAGTTCTCATTTCTTTTTTTTAATAGAGATGGCAAGTGAGAGATCAAAAGCTTCATAAAATAAAATCTATATGCAGAGAATTGTATTTTCTTGCATCACTTGTCAAATACAATTTTTGGTTTTATAAAAGCCAGCAGTGGCATGGTGACTGGGGCACTGAATTCCCAAACGGCCAACCACAGTTCAAGTCCCAGTGGAGACTCTACTTTCCCTCTTTTTCCTTCTCTCTGTCTCTCTCTGATGAGTGTGCATGCCCTATAGCAATTTTTTAAAAATAATAATAATAAATAAAATTAAAAAAATAATTATTTTAAAAAGCATAAGAGGAAATATGATTATTAGATTAGGCACTGTAGGGCCAGCAGATGATACAGCGGTTATGTTGCTGGACTCCCACATGGTTGACTGTGGTTCGAGTCCCGTACCCTGTGGCTTAAAAATCATGCTGGGTACATGTGCGTGCATGCCCAAGATCCCAGGAGGAGAATGGAGAAGAAGGAACTGCAGTGTGACCATCCTCTCTTGGGGGGTGATTTCTCATGTTCCCTCTCATAGTCTCTGTCTCTCTGGTGAGCATGTGCACCCTATGGCAAAAATCTCTTTTAAAAAAAACTGGGATAAGTATTAATAAATTCTCTTTTATTCTGCCCTCTTTTCCCCCTAACTTTGTTCCTCCTTTTCTCATTTTCTATATTACGTGGATATTCAGCATCCTTCTGTGCACAGGGGCACAGGTGAATAGTACAGAGGAAATCCCTGCCCCTAAGCATTTATATTCTACGTGAGGTGACAGTGAATGAATTAAGATAAAGCCCTGTAGAAAAAGATGCTACTGTTTGCCCATCTTGCTGTGGGGCAGTGACAGCAGGTACGGAGGGGACATGGATTAATATGCCTTGTGTTAATATCCCAGTACCCACCCACTGGGCTGCTGCTTTTCCAGATTTTATAGAGGTTAGGAAGTGATCGTGGTAGGAAATTCCCTTCCTTCCTTTTGTTGGACCAAATTTGCTTTCACGTGGTTTGTTGAAGATGGGAGCATTGGGAATAAGGGCTATATATTATATTATATCTGAAACTCCTAAACAAACCTGCCTGCACTTAGGAACTTAGAAAGAAGCCCGACCACAGCTTGTCTAAGTGCCACCTAAGCCTCTCTGTAGAGACGGCGTCAGCGGCCGCGTGGTTACTGTTAGGCTTGATTTGGGAAGGGCCGCGGAGTCAGAGGCGGCAAAGATGAAAATACCAGAGTCAGGCCTTGGGATTTAATAAAACCAATATAATTTATTCTGCAAACAGCTCTCGGGTGAGGTCCCTTGGCCTGGTCAGAGGCCAAGAGAGTCGCGTCCAGGGTGGGTGCTGCTTGTTCTTAAAGGGCCGTATTCCAATAGGTGGTCGCCATGGATCCTTGCCTGGCCAATGAAGTTCGCTGTTTCTGTTCCCCTTTGAAAGGTGGGACAAATGCTGAATGATGAGAAAGTGTGTTGGTGATGGTGGGCCAGATGCAGAAAACAGGAAAGTTCCTGCCAACGGGAATGTTTCCACCAAGTTTCTTTGCCCTTCCCCCAGACCTTGCAGTGACCAGCTCACAGGCTTGGTGCTATTTGTGCTATTTGTTAGCCCCTGGACAATTTCATCTTGCTTGTGCTTTGTTTCCAGATCTACTATGAACTTATCAAATCCTGTGAGTTCAGAAGCATAGTAGTATTGACTGTATTTAGAGAAGGAGGCGTGTGGTTATGATGGAAACCAAAGCCATGTTAGCTCCATGTGGGTGCGTCCGCGTTGTTCCCATACACATTATGAGTCCTTACAGGTGAATGGCTTTGGATCAGACCTTAGACTCTAACCTGAACCTAATGAGAATCGGTCCCATGTCTTTTAGATACTAGAGGTCTTCAAAAGGTTCACGGAACATGCATAATATGAAAAATCTACACGTGGATTTCATTTCTGTACCAAAATAAACTCATACTTTAATATCACTTCTCCATAAAGTCTTTGAAGTACCTAATACCCATCTTCCAGCAGCACTGGGAAGACTTTGCAGAAGTCAGAAATCCTCTGTAGTGAAAACGATCTTCCACACCCGGAAAGTGCTTTGTGCATGGAACTCTATAATTACCCACTGTAAAGTGGGAGGACTATTGAGTCATCCTTTTTCTGCAAAACAGTCAGCTGGTGCTGTGGTGCTGAAGGAGGCTGGATATCACACGGTCTTCTGTGTGGTTCGGATTCTGGATGGAGGGGACCAGCAGTTAGCGTAATGGCTATGTCGCTGGACTCCCACGTAGTCGACCGTGGTTCACGTCCCGGACCCGGTGGCTTAAAACTCATGCCGGGCGCGTGTGCGTGCATGCCCAAGATCCCGAGAGGAGAATGGAGGAGAAGGGATTGCGGCATGACCATCCCCCCTGGGGGGTGATTTCTCGCTTTCTGTCTCTCTGTCTCTCTGTCTGTCTGGCGAGCACACGCCCTATAGTGAAAACCTCTCAAAAAAAAAAAAAAATTCTGGGTGTTTGTGGCAGCTTGAGAAATACACTGAGTGTTTATGAGCGCCCAAATTTCTGAAAAAGGAAATGGAGAGGAAGGGATTGTGACTTTATTATTCCTTATGGGGAATGCTTTCTTACTTTCCCCCATTCCCCTAGTAACTTTTTTTTAAAAAAAAAGAGAGAAACATAAGCTCCAAACACAGATGCCCCGGCATTCGAAGTATTCAGTCTTTAGGATAATGATCAGATCTCTGACTATCATGGAGAATGGGCAAGAATTCTAAACAGCCATTGCTTATCTCCTGTGGTTGACTTCATTTTTAATAGTATTCATCAGAGTTCGGTTTTTGTTTTGTTTTGTTTTGCTAGGGGGTGCATGTGCTCACTGGAGACACAGAGAAACAGAGAAAGTGAAAAATCACCCCCTGGGAGTTACGGCCACTCTGCAATCCCTTTTTCATTCTATTCTAGGGATTTGGGCACACGTACGTATGTGCCTAGTGTGAGTTTCAAACCATGAGGTCCAGGACTCGAATTGCATGTTGTTCTGAGGAATTAATTAAACGTATCTGTGAAAGCACTTATCCCAGGACAGAGCAGTAATGGCCCTCAATAAATATTAGCTAACTTTGCGACTGAAGTTTACTCTATCAGACCCACATGCTCACTGATTTTAAAAAGTGATAGAAAGAACTCGGCCACCTGCTGCCCACCATTTCACTCATTTCCTGTGACTACGTGGAGCTGCTGTCACCCCTGCCTTGGGAATTGGTCTTGGGTTCCTAAGCAGAGCCATGCTCACCCAAGGGGTAGGTTCTCTAAGTAGTCTGAAACATGAATGATTTGAATGACTCGACTAATGTATGGGTGTCTGCATCTGAAGAGCAATGCATCTCCAACACCCCCAGATATCTCTGTCCCCCTTCTATTCTTTTCCCACCTCCCACTCTTGCAACCCATGAAATCTTGCAGGATTTCTCTCACTGTTTCCCAACATGTTTCCTCAAGAAAAATGTGCAGGGTCAGCCTGTGGCATGGTGGTTAAGGTGGCTGGATCCCATATGGCCAACTATGTGGTTCAAGTCCTGGACCTGGCCGCTTGAGAGACCAACCAGGGGTGTGTGTGTGCATGTCCAAAATCCTGAAAGGAGAAACGGAGGAGAGAGGATTGCAGTGCGACCATCCTCCATGGGGCGTGCTATCTCACTCCCTCTCTCTCTGTCTCTCTCTCTCTCTCTCTGGCGACTGCACACACCCTCTAGCAAATTTTTAAAAATAAAAATAAAAATTTCAGTCTCTGAGAGAAACACTTTGCAATTATTTTAATTCCCAATAATGACACAGAAAAAATTAACACCCTTACTTAATTTCACTCACTTGAGTATTAATTAATTTGTAAAGTGCTGTGTCTATTCCCCTGTACATATGTTTAGGGCTTAATTAAAATTAACCCCTAAGAGAAGATACAGCCTGTTTAGAGAAGTACTCTTCTTTTTATTTATTTTGTGTTTGTTTATAATAGATATTTATTTAAAGTAACACACCGGCAGACCAAATTATTTTTAAATTAAATTTTTCAGGTTCGACCCCAACTTCATAAAAATCTTTAAAAACAACCACATCCACGATTGCAACCTAGTTACTTCTTTGCCCACTCTTCTCTCTCTTCTTTCTCGAATAACCTCTTTACATATGGTTCAAGGTAGAAATGATCCTCCTCGTGTTCTGTCCATTGCTCAGTAGGCAAGGTCCGCTGCCTCATGGTCAGGTCCAGGGCTCTCTGAATGCGAGACAACCTGTCGTTACAGAGGTTCTCAGGAAGTCTTCTTACAGCTTCCTTCACATCTTCGTTCTCATAAATCGTATCACCTCGCATTAACCCCAGTTTATTGAATCCTGCGGCATTGTAATACCATTCTTGAATCCCATCCAGCCACCGCCCTGATGCTGAAACAGCCGGCCTGCTCGCCGTTTTGAACCTGAGAAGTACCCTTCTTTAAGTATTCTTACTTTCAGTTTTTATAAGTGCAGAATATTCTCTCTATTAAAAATACACACAACAGGGACCAGCAGTTAGCGTAATGGCTATATCGCTGGACTCCCACGTAGTCGACTGTGGTTCGCGTCCCGGACCTGGTGGCTTAAAACTCAAGCCGGGTGCATGTGTGTGTGTGCCCAAGATCCCGAGAGGAGAATGGAGGAGAAGGGATTGCGGCATGGCCATCCCCCCTGGGGGGTGATTTCTCACTTTCTGTCTCTCTCTCTGTCTGTCTGGCGAGTGTACACGCCCTATAGCAAAAACCTCTCCAGGAAAAAACACTCACACACACACACACACACACACACACACACACACAACATAGAAAAAATATAAAGGTGAAAGATCATAATCCTTCCCATTCCCCCCAAATTGCAATCAATTCTCCAGAGACAATGAACAGCTTTAATAGTTTTGTGTCTTTCCAGACTTGATCTTTTTATTCATATCGGTATGTTCACACAGAAAAGTAGAAAATTGTCTTCTTTGCCATTATCTAATAATACTGAAGTAATATAACTATATATTATCATTCTTTTCCTTTTTTTCACTTAGTAATATGTCTTGATAAACTTTTTCTGACTATGATTCATCTCAAGTTTATTTTTTTTTTTTTTTTTTTAGAGGGTTTTTCTTTTG